TTGACAAATATTTTAGATACTGGTATGGCAAACAGCGACTATTAGCTTCTCCACTGTAACCAGAATATTTTCTACATCAGTCAATTCTTTGCCCCTTCCTAAACATACGTGCAAAAACACCAGATTTCTCTACATCCCAGAAGAGAGAAGACCCAGGATTACCTAAATCAGCTAGAGACTTTGCACTATGATTACATCTTAGGGTAGGAAGGACTTGCATATTTTGCTGGACAGCAGTACAAAACTCAGAAACAAAGCTATCTTCCTCAGCCTGTTTCACTCCACATGGCAGTCCCCGAGAATCAAAATGGGCTTCCTGCCTCCTAGCGAGATTATGGAAACAATCCTTTTTTCCCTTCCGGGAAAGATTCCAGTGGCACAGAGAAACTTTCTCTGATGAGCACAGAAACGGAGGCTAAGCCACGTGGGTTGCTTTTTGGTTTTTTTTCTGGTGCAGAACGTGTGTTTTCCAATCAACGCCATTGTTAGCAGTTAGGGTTGAGTTCACAACCTCTCTCATCCACATCTGCGTCCCAAACCTGCAGGAGCCCCTCTCCTGCATTGTTACAGCTCTGGGCCTGGGCTTAGACCACTTTAATTTCACTGCTCCCAGCCTGGCAAGCAGCAGTAAAACAGGCTAGGATTGTTGGCCTTGATCCCCACCCCCCAGGCAGCTCCGTGCCCTTATTTTGCGGTATGCCCGGAGACCTAGGGAGAAAAAAGGCCTTCCCCAGACCTGGCAGGCCGAGAGCAACAGGAAGGGTCTCACCCGAGCTCGAGGGCAAGGGCAAATAAACAAAAAACCCAAACAAACCAAAAAACAAGGAACCGAGAGAGAAGCGGTGCCGCCCCCGCGGGGTAGAGTGCGGGCGGCCCCCTGCCCCCGCCCTGGGCCCGGCGCGTACCCGCGGGTCCCCGCACAGCAGCAGCTCGGGGTAGCTGAACTCCACGCAGCCCTCCTCGGTCGGGTCCTTCAGCACCAGCTCCAGACGGACCGTGCGGCGCGGCGCGGGCGCCTCGTGCGGCGGCGGAGGCTCCTGCCGGGTGCCCTGACGCGGCGGCTCCGGCCGC